CCGCGCTACGGGGGTTCTTTTCCAACGGGATTAAATGGAGCGCCTAGATGACCGATGCTCGTACGCCGCGGGAGGGGACGGTTGGAAAACAAGATAAAACGAGGATAAAGCTCACTTAGAACCTTCCTCCCTTTACTACCGACAACGCGGGACCTGGGGTTGCTCTCCGCCGCGGCACTGACAGCGAGGAGAGCCTTCGTTAATCCAGAAGCCTAATCGTCCAGATCGCCGGACTCCACAGTGGCTACAGCTTGCCCTCTCCTCCCACCGGGAAATTTGAGGTTACTCGCGCAAACTGGGGTGGAAGAGATATTTTTTTGGGGGGATTGGCCAATGTTTGTATTTCGGTGTACAATGATATTTTAGAGTCATTTTGGATGGACATTAATCTTTCGGCAATCATGGCAAAACTCGGTTCCAACATTGACTGGAATAAGAGCGATTAATCATGTAGCAATGGTTAAAGTTATTGTTCTATTAGTAGTACGGTTCTGTATAAAATAATATATGTATGTTAGATATTACATTTTAACATAGTTTCTTGAATTAATATTTCACATGCAGGGTTAAGCAAAAATCCTATATTTTAATAAGTAATCCTATGTTTTACATAATGAAAATGAAATTAATTCTGTGGATGCTGTCATGAGAAATTACAAACTACGACGTTATATTTAGGTACTCAATGGCTCGTTTCAGTTTCTTTTTTCCAATATTTCATTTAGATTTATTGGATCGAAGAAAATATAATTGAGGAGACTGTCACCGAAATAAGCGCCAGTAGCGAACGTGTTAACTTGTCGATCGAACATACGTCCCTAAATTTCGTAAGCAGCTCGAAACCACGGTTCCCGTTTAATTAACTCGTCGATCGGGGATCCATTAGCGACCTTCCGATTTCCTCGAGACACGCAGTCCTGGCTGCGGATCCGGGAAGCCGCGTGTAATACCCGCTTTTAAGCCCCGATTACACGCGCGACCCGCCAGCATCCGTAAGCGGATTATATTTCGACTTTGTTGTGGCGCCCGAAGACGTTCGTTAGCGAAATCATTGTCGCGACGATCTTCTTCCTTCTTCGGCCGGCATCGTTAGCGCTTAAAACGGGAAACCGCGCTCCTTGGATTCCTGTAAATTCCTTCTGTGACGCCGTGGTTCCTCGAGGCTGCCAGCTTCCGTTCCTTCGTCGCCATGTAAACCAACTTCTTGTCAAAGTTTCTACTTCAACGTCTAACCCGTGAATGCTCAACGTTCATATATCTCGCAGGTTTCTTTCCATTGAAAACTAATCGTTATTTACTTCCCGTTCGAGATCATGGCGCGGAAAAGAACTCGGAAGTTCAGGGGTGGCTGGCCGCCGTTCACAGAGGGGCTGGGAAGCATCAATCTTTCATTCACGCGATGAATTCCGAGTTATGAATGAAAGTCGAGCCAGCAGCTTTTAATATAATGTCACGCAACCTGTTCGCCCGCTTAACGTGGCTTCGATTTTGATCGAAGACTCGCGAAGTCGTTTTTTTCCGTCCACGGACGTCCAGTGAAGACGTAACCCGCGATCTATCCGAGAAGATTCTGATAAATCCCTGCAGCTCGTGAGTCGAGGAAATTCTCGGCCGTCCTTTCGTGGAATCCGGCACAGCGATTTCTCATTTGGAAGAAATTTTTTTAAGAGATTCGTAGATTTCAAGCTCGTCGATCATCCCGTTTCACGGGGCAGTCACGAATTTCCCCCGAGCGTTTCGTATTCTTTTTTTCCCGGCTCGCTATTAAGCTGATCCCCCGGTTTCCGTGTCGCGGGCCAGTTCCTGCGGGACGCCCGACACGGCTGTCCAACTGTTACTTTGATTTATCGATCTTAATTAGCCCGGTTCTATGAAAATCACGAGTGCGTTCCTTCGAGCGGCACGGGATCTCCCGAGCCTCAGGTGCGGCCTAATCTCCTTTTGTCTTTCCGCGAAAATTGCACGATTTATTTTGTGGACGGCGGAAGTGTGATTGGACACGTTCTGCGATTAGTTGTAACGTCACTGTCGATTTGGGGATCGAACCGAGAAGTTGTGACTGATCGGTCAGCTGAATCTTCTAATCGATTAGAATACTATCAACAGCATGTTACTTAGGTAATTAATTAGAATTAAATAGAATGTTCAAGAATATCGATAATATTAACATTAGCACCAGCGAACGGATCAAAATGACTCATTTCTGATTTCTTCCTTCCCGATTATTAAGAACGTAATAGATGATTTTCTGGGAGTTATTAAAGAAATTGATTTGGCAATACGCAAACTGAATTGTGAATCATTTAATGTCTCAATAAATGTACTCTTGGAGTATCTATAGAGAAATTTTTATAGAGAAATTTCAAAAACCCACTTTCAGTGCTCGGTAGTTCTAGTGTTAATAGAATATTAGAATTAATAGTATTAATAGAGTATTTTTGAAGCTGTCAATATAAAAACTTCAATTTGTCTAGTTCCGATCATTAAAATATTGTCTTCTATAATTTAATGGATATTTATAAGTCGATTTCCCTTGGAAACGTCGGAATTACGTGGCGAACCGTGCCTCGAACTCGAAGGAAAGTTCGATTGGTCGTCCCACGAGGGATTTCCGCGCGGGCCGTTTTCACGCGCGCGATAAAATCCGAAGGAATCAGGGCTGATCGCGACCCGGCAAACTTCTCCGCTCCGATCTCGTCCAAGTTTTTGCCCCCCTCCTTGACGGCCGTTTATGGTTTGACTGCCCTCGGATGGCACTTTAGGGAAATACACGAGGAAATCCGCGCCGTTTCTCCACTCTATTGGGAACCGCTACAGCCTATTGTGTATTATTAGCCAATAAAACCCACTTGCTGTTTGCTCGAGACACGCATGGCTGCCTCCCGCGATCCCTTTCCGAGTTTTCGCTGTCTCTTTCTTCGTACGGTGCATTTCTTTTGTGTTAAAGAGTCTTAGGTATCTTTTTATTTTCATTTCCTTCAGAATGCAAGAGAGTTTTATAAAATTAGTATTGTTCCACGTATGATTCCTTTAAATTTAGTCAGTGAAATCGTTTTCTACGGTTCCTCTTCGATTTCAAATTATTTTTATCTTTGTAGAATACATGTTCTTTGAATAAAACAGTCCTAGGTACCTTTTTATCCTTTTTTTTTAAATACAATAGAGTCGTATAAAACTAGCAAGGTTCTATGTAGATTTCTGTTTGAATTTGATCAATGAAATCGTGTTCTTGTCAGGTACCATTGAAATTCCGACCACATTTTAATATGTTTACTCAAGAAATCACGGTAGACCGGTCCGAAGGGGATGATTTACAGCGATAGGGTTAAAAGACTTGGAAAAGGGGTTGCACAGGGCAGCCGCTGATTCTCAGTCGTCCCCACGCGTCCCTGATTAGCCCAGGTTACTCGCATTTCCGATTAAACTCGATAGCGAACGATCCTATCGTGCCACCCCCGTCGCGGCCCTGTAATTGGAGGATCCAAGGGTGGACATTTGAATTCATTTCGAGTACCGGTTTCCTACGACCTATCCCTTCACGTGATTCCCGGAAACGTCGCGGCGAACTAAAATCTAATCGTTTTATTTCTTGCCGCTCGATCCGTCTCGCCAGAAACATCCCCAGAATCACGCTGCGATCGGGAAACTGGCCATGTAATCTCGCGACAAGATAAAATCAAGGATAGAATTCAGATCATGGATTCCTTCCTTGAGAAAGGATAAAGTTCTTCGACTCATTAGTAGTTCAACTTCAAGATTGATCGCTATATTCGATAGGGGTTGATTCACCCTATTTTCTCAATACCAAAATTTTAATTCTCGAGAAGCTTAAAAATTTATTTGTTTTTTAAACGCTATCACAATTGAATGCAATTTTTACTTTAAGATCACTCACAAATCTAACATCTGGTAACACTAATTTCCTGTACACTCATCCAATCATTAATAATATAATATTACTACAAAACATAACATTAACTTGACGTCATTCTAAAGACGTCATTAATCAACCATTTTAATACTGTTCTACCGTTAATAATATATTACAAATGATCGCCCGAATAAATGTCCCAAAAATTTAGCGTTACCAATTAGCTTCCCCGTCAGGTGAGCTATCCTCGTCGCTGGAGAGGCTTCTTGCCTAGTACTCTCGCGATACGCGTAATTAGGAGGCTCCCCTGCACCAGGGGGTGGGGAGGCGCACGGACATTCGAATTCATTCGGGGTCGGAGCGTTCCTCCGGGGTGGTGGGTCGTCCGACACAGCCCCTTTACCGGGAAACTGTCTGAACATGACGTAACGCTCCTGAAAGCCGTTCGGCCTGGTTTTTGCGGTGTCCGGCCAGCAACAATGGCCGCTTCTTACGCCGCTCTGGTCACCGTATATTATTAATTACTGTATTAATCTCGCCGGCCGTAAGCAATCTATTATACATGGGATAAGAGCCACCGGTCGGCGAGCCGGCGTCGGCGTCGTCGTCGTCAAAACGCCCGTCCGTCCGCCCACACGCCGCTCCGTTCGTTCGTTCCGCACCCTTCCCCATCTCGGTGACTTTGTAACTTCGCCGCTCGATGTAATCTGACCCCTGCGGGTGTTAACGAAGGGTGGCCGCTGGAAGGGTGTTAAAGGAATCTTGAAATTGGCCGCGACGATTCGACGATGCCGGGATGGGGGTTGGAGCAGAATCGATTTCGGGGGTGGTTTTTAGGGAAAGCTGGATAAACATTCTTTGGAAACGGGAATTTTGAGTTTTTCGTTTTAATAGCAGTTGCGGTGATTCGTGGTATTGGTTGAGATGATTCGACATTTGGATTTTGGGGATGGTTTTATTTAGAAATAACTGGTTACACATTTTTTAGAAATATTAATCGCGGATCTTAGTTATTAGAAATAGCTGAAGATTCTTGAAGTTGGTAGTAGCCACTCGTTCCGATTTCTTCCTCCCTCAGTTTCAAATCTCACTCAGGGATTCTTTCAATTTCTTCTTTCTCATTTTTCAGAGCTTTGCGCGGCTTGTATGTTAGCGAGAGTAGAGCAAGAACGCCTGGAGAGCCTGAAGTACGAAAGGGCGACGATCTACGTGAAGTGCGTAGAAGACACGGAGGAATCAAAGTCGGAGAATGACATGGAGGTCGGTGAAAGAATAACCGCAGTAACGTTGTAACCCTGTCGTATCGATGCCGGCGAGACGATAGAGGGGATTTTTGTTAATGGGCCAGCGTGCCGAGTCACCGGGTCTCCTGGAACCGGTCCAGATTGATGCTGGTCGATAAGAAGATTGGCCCCATCTCGTTCGTTTCACGATAATAATCGTCATTACGTTTCCATGGCGCGACCTCAGGCCCCACCTGCCTTCTTCCTTCGTCACCTAGCCACATTCTTTTTCTGTCTCCATCATCCGCGGCCAATCTTCCTTCGTCCATACACGAGAACTTCTCTCCGCTTCCAACGTTTAACAGTCTATTCCATTCAGGTGGCTGCGAAGAGACCCAAAATGGAGAACACCAGGCCATCGAGAACCAGGAGGAACCTGAAAGGCTCCCACGAACTCAAAGTATCCTCGGATATCACCCTCAAGGAGCTCAAACTGATGGTGAGTGTATCTAAATCCTCAAATACCTTAGCCCATCATCGTAGACTATCGGAAAATCACCCGGAAAACACTCGATCCTCCGAAACGAATCGCCAGAAGAAAAATCGCTCGACGTCAACGCGTTTCGCTCGGCAAACAGTTTAGCGGGTCCGCTGGAAATACCGCGTCGGTCGCGTATTAAATTACGAAAGGGTTAACCCCTTGTTCTCCAATCGAACGTAGTTGCTGACAATGACAGTGATCACGGGGTAATTGAAAGAGATTACTGCTGGCCCGAGAAAGGCAGCGTTTTACGAGGGTTTCGGCTAGAGGACGAAGACAGAGGTCCACCTAAAGTCAGACACCCCGGTCGAACGAGAGAGACGCGTCCAGAGGGAGCGCGGGCTGCGAGAGGAGGCCGGGTTCCGGCGGGTTCGTTCGGTGGACGAAAGTAGTAAAGCCGTAGTTATGGCTGGTTAGCATATGCCCGGGCCCCGGCAGTGTGCTTAAACTATTAAGCGTATTTATATTGCGAGGCTGCGCCCGTCTCCTTCTCCTTCTTCGGGGCCACCGGCAAAAACCCGAAAGAGCATAAACCTCGCGCTAATAACAGGCCTCCGACTTCTCCACTCCACTTCACTCCACTTCGTTCGACTCTCGGGCCCTTCCTTCCATACCACGATCCCTATTCAACTCTTTCCCCTTTCTCTCGGTCTCTCTTCGTCTCCCCGTGATTCCTCAAGATCTCGCCCTGCGCCGAGGTGTTGCTTCCGCTGGTGCTCGGGGCTTTGCCTAAACCGACATCGAAATAATCGGAGCAACTTCGTTTTCTTAGCATCCTTGGATTTCAATGATGAAACAGTTTGTTTAGATTCTTTGCGCGGATATACGATTTTATGAGATTTTACTTCCGGTTTTGTGAAGTTAGTTATTTTAGCAGTTCATGTTATGTAGTTTACGATTGGATTGATATCTCAACGAGTATTCGAGCGTTTCAAAGTTCTAAGCTTTTGTTAGAGGATGTTTTATGATTTTGAGATTTGAATTTGATTATTGGCATTAGCGTGATTGTAGGTTAAACGCGTGAATGTTCAATTTTGAAGGATACTTCATCTCGCACCGGTGAATCCTCGATGCCACCTCGTCCCCGTTCACCTCCGTCCTCAATTTTTGTTTAAGCCTCCTCCGTTGCCCGGTCTACGCCCTTTTTTCAGCTTTTTTAATATCCGCTCGCGAGAAAGGCTGCCGGCGTCAATGGGGCGACGAGCCTCCTCTTCTCATTCAGTGACCCTCTCTTTTATAGTTCCACTGACCGAACGATGCCTCCTTTTTTCCCTGCTGTCGATTGAGCGTGTCAAGAGCCCACCTTTCGAGACTGTCAGAGTCCTCCTCTTTAGCCCGCAACCCTCTCCGCGACGTTTCCCGCGTTCATTCGCGTTTCCCGTTTATTGCAAATGGAATCAACCTCTCCGTCGCGAATTATGGAAAGGCCTCCGTGCAAAATCGGCCGTCGGCCGACGGGTCAACGGATTTTCTGTCTTTCCATCCTGGTACCGGCAAAAAATAGCCGGGAAAATGGCGGAGCACAAAGCGACCGCGGTTTCACCGCAATAATTGCCAGGCCGGCCAAGTAGTAAAACTCTGAAATTCGAGCCGGCGCTCGCTCTTCAGCACGTTCCTCGAACGGAGACGATCCGCGCGTCGATCGTCGATGGATCTCGTCGTTCCTGGAGCATGAAGAGCTAAACGGAGATTAGACGGTCGGGGTACCGGTTCGAAAGCGTCGTCCCGGGTGGATGGATAGATGAAGGGTGCTCCCGGTGGCTCGCGCGGACACCGTTTGACAAAAATCGGGGACTGACTATCTCGGTTTTTGCCAGGCAGCAAAAATTCTTCGGTTTCATGGTCGAGCGCGCGACAAGTCGCGAGCAAGCAAGCAAATCGGAACAACGGCCGGCAAATCGGCTACTTCGGCTGGACGATCGTTTTACGTAATCGTCGTAACGCGCCGGTCGTTCCTTGTAAATATTACTTTCTATTCACATTCCGTGTCACCGGTGTCGCCGTTTGTCCGTTTTTCCTACTCCGCGCCCTCTATTCTCGCCGTTCGACGATTTTCTTTCGCGCTTCTTTGCGATCGAGCCAAGTTGTCCGCGGGAAACGCGTTCGATTGGAAGTCACTCGATTGGTAATATGGTAACTGAGATTTTTCGATTGTTGCGACTGTTGTTGATTTAATCTGATCGAAGTTCTCATTTTGCGAAAGTCATCGTGTTTATTTAGGTGCGACGTAATAGTTCGTAGTGGGGTTAATAATAAAGGGGAAGATTGATGAGTATTCGAAGAATATTTTCGTTCGATCAGCGCGATCGGAGACGTTCGAGAAACCCAGACGAAGAATCAGCGCCCGGCTACATGGAAATCGGTTCAACGTCGGAACTAATCTCTGGAATTCGGATCGAAATCAATTTCACGGGGGCCCCGTTGCCGCGTCACCATAGGCAATCCGTTCAAATTTTCACAAAAAACCGGTACAATCGATCTTCACTGGAATCTCGTTTACCACTTTCCAAAAGTTAGCCTCTCGCAGGACGTCAGTTTCGAAGAACAACGGTTCTGGGTTGTAACGTGTCGCTTTTGTCACTCGTATTGTCGGCTCGATATCCGAGTTTCTATCAAACCACGATTCGAGACGGCGATCATTTGGGAGGGGGTACGAGGAAACCGATCGCTGAGGATCCTTTTACCAACAGGTTAGCTTAGGATGAATGAGATCTGCGTTTTTTAAGAACGAATCCTGCAGGTGTTTTGGGAGCTACTGTGTCGCGTTAAGCACTACTGTGTTGCCTTGTAATTTGTGTTGCAAGTTATATTAAAAAATTGAAATTTCCAAGGTTTGAGACCTAGTTCCATAGGTTTCTCAAGAACTATATTATCGTTTTAGAAACTAAGTTGCGAAGTATGGTAGAAAATTGTGATTTGCTTATTTTGAGATATAAATTCATAGGTTCTTTGGATATATAATGTCATTTTGAAAACTACGGTTGGAAATTAAAGTAAAAAATTGAGATTTGCAAGTTTTAGAACCCAGTTCCGTAGATACCTTGGGAGCCATACTATCCCCTTGAGACCTAAGTTGCGAAGTACAGCAGAAAATCGGAAATTTGCAACTTTCAGACCCATATTTATAGATTGTTGTGACCAAACAACATCACTTTGAGAGCTACAGTTGCAAATTAAAGTCACAAATCGAGATTTGCAAGTTTTGGAACCTAGTTTCCTAAATCCCTTGAAAAGAATACTATCGCCCGAAGAACTACGATTGCAAAGTACAGTAAAGATCAGGATTCACCCACTGTGAGACCTACTTTCCACCTCTCCCTTGCTATCTACACTGTCGGTCCAGTAACAACAGTTGCGAATCGCACTGAAAAATTGAGATTCGCCGCATTGGGAGCTACTTTCCATCCATTCCGAACGTGTTAACTCAGTTTACGCCGGACACGGCATAACCAGGGTGCACGCTACGCGCTCGCGCTCGCTCTCTCGTCCTCCTTCCTCCTCGTCCTTCGCGTCCCCGGCTCTTTTTCCTGGCGGTTACTCGCTCGTAAAACAGAAACCGACCCGCACGTTTACACCGGCACCGGGTAAGCTGGTCTCCCGTGCAGGAGGAACCGGGCGATGGGCAAACGCGAAACCGTTCTCGAGGCGGCTTCCACAAATTAAGCAATTACCCGGACGCATGCTCTCCTCTCGATTCCGACTTCGTGATGCCCGGCCCTTCCTCCTTCTCGGCTCGCCTTTTCTTAGAGTTCAACGGCTGTAGAGGAAAGATCGCAGCGGAGAATCAACGGTTTTGCCCGATGATAATCACAAACCGTAGAAACGATTCGGAAACAGTCACGATTCGAATAATCTGAGAACAAAGTCGGGCCCGATATAGAAATTTCCTTTCTTTAGCTTTAAACAGTTCGTTCTTAACTTCCAGACCATGCAGATCTGCGGGGCAGGCCCATACGATCAGCACCTGATGCTCGGAGAACATGAGCTCACCGATCACAGTCAAAGTCTAGCGGCGCTCGGCATATTTCCCGGAGCACTTCTCACCTTAAAGGTAAGTCTCGACCGTCCGTTCCTCCTCTCGAATACTTGACATTATCTACCGTTACCGGCGTTCTTTATCCGTGAAATTTCGACGTAATTAGCGACAGTTTCGGTAACGATCGCAATGCTCCCTAATAAGCCACAGCGGAGCTTGCCTCTTAGTTATCCTCGGCATCGCATTCCGAACATTCGAGCGAGACCCTCGTCGCGGTCCTTAAAGGCACGGAAAGGGCCGGGTTCGCAAGAACGCGAGCTTCCTGCTCCCGATTTTTAGCGACCCGTAATCGCCCGCGCGATTCAGGCGGCAGGAAGAAAAAAGAGAAAGAACGGTGAGCTTTTAATTTAGCAGCGGGACAAGTATAACGATCCCGCGCGGCGAAAAAACGGTGCGGTCTCGTACTTCTTCGATTTTTCTCGGGGCCGGCTTACGATCTGTCGAATCGTTGTATCACTGCCCAGAAGAAACGGGCGTCGACGGTTTCGTTGGTTTTTCCGCGCGACGCGCCGCCGACGTACGGTCCGCCGATTTTTGCCCAGGGTCTCGTTGCGTCGCCGGTAGTCGGAAATCAATTATCGCTGTTGAAACGGATCGCTACACCAGCGATTACCTGAAAAATCCGGCAAAGATACCGATCGCAGCCGAGTTCCAGCCGCCGCGGCGCGCCGGGGGGAACGGAGGGGCAGCGGGGCGTGCCCGACAACTTCGATAAATAGTCGGCCACGTAAATGCACGGTGCCGGGCATAACTCGCGGATTAGTCAGCCGCGCGTTCGCCACGGACAAACCGCGATCGGTCTCTGCTTTTTCACCGTGAACCGTGGTTTTTCCTCGACGCGATCGACCGCTCGATCAACGGACGGACGACCGACCTTTGGTCATCCTTAACTTCGATCTATTACAGTGGAAATGATCGATGGTCGAGATTCTTAGTCACCTTACAACCGTATTTTCCTCTCAATGAAACATCGCGTCTAATGCTCCGTCGCTGCACTTCGATTTTTCTGCATTTCCTGGATCATCGTAGCTCGCTTCTCGAATTTCCAGGGATTCTTTAGATCGTTCCCAGCGGCGAGTTAATCGTCTCCGAACGATACGTTTGTTGCGCGTTGGTTACGTTGGACAGTGACAAACAGGTGCAATTTAGATTTAAGATCTAGCCACCGCTTCCCTTAAGCCCGAGACAATGGATAAGTAACGCAGGCAATGGTCCAAGATAACGGCAAGACCGCCGATCTCGTCTTGGGATTAGCCGGAAACGTTGCCCGCCGAGATTAGAAGTGTTAATTGGCCTCTCGTTGTTGGAAGATTAGCTTCTCGCGGTGGGATTCGGCCTGGGACGATCTTCTTTATCCGTGAACTCTTTGATAACCATCCCTTCGATGCTTCGCGGTGTTTGCGTGCTGTTACTTTTCAGCGAAGTACTCGGTAGCTTCTGGTTTCCTTTGGAACAATGAAATTTAACTATTGTGAATGCTAATAGACATATTAACGTTTCACAGAGTAAACGTCTTGAGAATTATCACTTCATATCTAACCAACTTATTTCTTTATATACAAATTTTTAGTCGGACCAATATCTACAATTATCATTAACAAGTTTGCTCCAATCCTTAGGAAATTCAAAAATAGAAACTTGAGAACTCTAACCCTTTGCGAACGAATGTCGACATTTCAGCGAGATGAAATGTTGATATTTGGAAGACTAAATGGCAACCAAATGATCTAATTACTCAAACAGCAAGGGATCAGCGCATAGTTTCCTTTTTCTCCATTGATTAAGCAATTCATCCACAATCTAACTTCATCTGCCCAAGGATTTGTATATTTCAAAGATTCAGTCAACAAAGAAACCAGTACATCTATACTACATCTCCAGTTCACCAACTTCAATATTATTTTCTTTCAAACACTCAGCTAAAGAACTTGTCCAAACCCACTTCAGTACTCGACCCGTTACAACCAAAACAATTCGAAACTTCGTTGCCCTCAGTCCCTCGCACGGTGATCGATTATCACTGCGACAGATCGACTTCGCGTCACACCGAAGAAACTTCTCTCCAGTCGGTGCACGCCATATGCGACGCAGCCATTCGTGATTCAACCGGCCGCATATCTGGCAGTTCGCGCGGCCCGCGAGGATCGAAGATTCGACCAAAAATTCAGCGGACGTGCCGGGTTTTTGCCGGGTCGGGAGCTGTCGCCGCCGCCGCCGCCGCCGCCACCGGCAGCAGCAGCAGCAGCAGCGTCGCCGTCGCCGGTCGGAAAGAAAAATTCTGTGCCCCGTCCGCTTCGGGTCCGGGACGCGAAACCGCCGGAATAATTCCGGCATTCCAACGCATTCCGGCGTTCACAGTCCACTGATTTTATGAAAGCGAGCAGCTCCACGGCTCCTCTGCTCGGCACCGGACCCGAGGAGACCGCTCTCTTCTAGCATTCGGATGTCAAAACCGTTAAATCCGCCGGGGAAAAGAGGAACGCGCCAGCATCCTCCTTCGACGGACTGGTTCTCGATCCTAGCACCAGCTGCGAATTCTAATTGCCGGTTGCGGGTAGGATCGTACCGTTCCCTCGACGAGTCCAGCTGGACAAGCTGGAGCGATCAACCTTTCGGTCACCGCTCACTCGACGATCGGAACCTTGAAACTTTTAATGGAATTCCGCGTCTCCCACGAAAGTGACATCAGTGATTGCATAGATTAAGGTTTGATTAATCGTTTCGATTAAAAGGTTGGATAATGTAAGAAGGAGCTACTCGCCGGACGGCGAGGAAGATCTCGGCAAGGTGACTCGTTAATACTGGAGAATGAAAGTAACTTTATCGTTGCAAAAGTCACGAGAGATTTCGCGCGGAATGAATCATTCATTCCATAATCCTTTATCCGTGTTTAGAGTGTTCCAATGTGCGCCGGGCAAGAAACCGTAACTCCTATCGACGTGTTCGTAGGTGTCGAAACGCCGGTGTTCGCCGGTTATTTCGTGAATCATTAATCCATTCCACGGATCACCGGAGTCGGGAGCACCGTGACGAGTGTTTCGCGCGAAACAATTCAAAAACCGAGGGGGATTCTTGCTTGCATTCCCGGCACACCGCCGCATCGGTTCTTTCATCGGCAGGCTTTCATGGCGCCAAACGAAAAACGCCGTGAACACCCCCCCTGCCGTCCCCGTCGACAGCTCCGAATGAGGATCTAAATTT